TAGCTTCTGTATAGTGATTTATACTCATAGACTAGTTTTGCTAATAATGGTTATAGTTATGTTGTAAGCCTTTGTGAATTGAGAAATACAATGGCTTTTTTACAGTCTTCTTATGTGACCTGTGATTTGTAATATTTATGGTTCAGCTAATGTCTATCAGCAATTAGTTAATTGGTAATTTGTATCTATATTGACACTAATGTTCTCAACATATAGGGACTTGTTTAATGGCTGCTATCTTTACTTGGAACAATTAGCATATCAAAGAAATACAGCATAATGGTAAATCGTACTTGTGTTTACTTTCATTTCCAAGGCTAATTGTTGTTTTTTTCCTACACCCTTTTGATATTTGCAAAGAGCCCCAATTGAATAGTTATATAAATGAACCATAATGATCTAACCAGAAATATTGACTCTTATTAGTAGATGTCTCCTTGGCTGATACATGGTTCAGATATGAGTTTTCTTTAATAAAATATTAAGACTTAGGAATTAAAGAAATAAAGTCTTATAAAAATAAGACTTAGGAATTAAAGAAATAAATACTGAAAATATTCCTAATTGAAAGCATTTTCTATTTAATTCTATCAGTTTTATACTATGAATCCTGAAACCCAAATATTCCTCCATTTAGAAAAGCTAGTTCAGTGGTTTATTTCATTCATTTAATCATTCTTTCAGTCATTTCTGCATTAATTCAGTTTTTTTCCCAGCTAATTTGCTGTATACTATGTTCTAGATACTGAGGGTGCAAAAATGAACAAGAAAAGCTCCCAGACTGCAAGGAACTCAACCGTAGTGAATATTCACTATGAACTATAGGAACCCTTTTATGCTGTAGTCAAGTGCCGAGTGAGATCCACAGTTAAATCTCAGCAAAATATCCTAACCATTACTGCCTCACCATATGTATGGCAGTGCCTGATGCACTTTTATAAGGGTAGGAGGCAATATTTTTCTTTAGCTTTAGCAGATTCGGCATCTCTTCCCCCAGTTTAGCCTGTTACAATTTCAATGGTGCAGATAGAGAGCCCTGAAATGTATACTTGTACATTTTTAAATGTCCCCTGCTATGCTCTAACCACCCCCTGTTTTCCAAATGCTGCCATTAGTGGTTACAATAATCATCTGTAATGTTAGCTTCTAAGAACCATGGTACAAGAGTTTCTTTTCTAATTTCCCAGATGGGAGGGAACACATGTACAAGCCTGTTAGAGTTGCAGAAACTGGAAACAGCACTGTGTGGATTTGTATTTTTGGAACTCTTTGGACTTACTTAAGCACTCAAAATCAAACTTAGGTATCCATTAGGAATCAAATACTGATTCAGGGAAAACTCACGTGGCATACCAAGAGGAATAAAACATACTAAAGTAGTTCAAAAAAGAACTCCTGGAAATAACTAGTTTCATATTCAGACTAATGTTTTGTGTACTTTTTGCAGGATGCCAGATGATAAATGTTGATTATATAAACCAGGGTCATTCCTTTTGTTTGGAGGATTGTCTCTGATATTATTTATCGAAATAGTAGTAAAATAGAAATGTAAAAAGTAGGAAAGGGCAATAATTATAAATTATCTGTAGGTAAGTGGAATGAAGCTTCTAATTAAAAAGGCTTTCAGTGGGCCCCTAGGTTTTTGCAGTGTGCTTTTATAGGGTTATGTGATTTGTGATGATCGTAGCCTTCAGCCTTGACCTTACATAAGAAAACTCAGTCATTGGGGGGAGGTATCTGAAAGTCATTATTATTTCATTTTTTACTGTCTTTCTTAAGTTGAACAATCTAACTGTAAAGAGAACTTCTACACTTAGATTACAAAATGAATTTTTTCCTATGAATGTGATTTCAAGCTCAGCTTCAACCTTAGTTTTAGATATGAGTTTTTAAAGTATTTTTAAAAATTTCCATCCTCATTTTATAGAAGGGGCAATTCAAAATTGAATACTTCATCATCTTTGAAAGAGCAATAAGTGAGAAGTAAGTTCAGACTCCCAAGCTGGGCTCTCCTTTTAAAACCACTGGTTCTAGAGAACTTGGTATATTATATCAGGAGCTGAAATGAAGGGTCAGCACTTAGTTTTCAGACATCATTGGTGACAGCAACTTTTTAAAAATAGGTTACTGAAAAATCACTAGATGTAGAGAATAAAGGTTAGGAATTAACATGCATTTGTTCACTGATTTATTCATGCAGCAAACATTGGTGTCTGTGTGCCTTTTGCAATCCTCCTCTTACCCATTCTCCCTCCCCTCCCATAGTTTGGAAAAAACAAAAAAATCCATACTCATATCATGCCACTTAAATTATATATTCCAGAGGTATTATAAATCTACGTGTAAATATTAAAATGATAACAATGTTAGATGAAAAACTAGAGAAATATATAACCTCAGAGACTAAATTTAACTCTGTAAAAATCTAAATTATCTGTGATGGCAAAAGAGTAAAAAGTTAAAAAGTCTAGACTTAGAAAATATTTCTAATGCATGCGTTAGAAAAGAGTTAAGAAACCTAATAAACAACCACCACAAAAAAGACAAAGAACCTTAAAGCAAAATGGGTAATGAATTTGATCAAGAAATTTATAAAAGAAATGTAGATGACCAATAAATAAGTGAAAAGTTGCTCAGCCTCATTCATTGAATCTGAATTGAGATACCATTTTCCAGCTATCATATTGTCAACATTAAATTAAAAAGAGTGATAACAGCCAGTGTTTTTCAGTCATTCAGGATGGAGGGAAACAAGCAGGCTTATACTGACGCAAATTCATGGGTCCAAATGTGAATTGCTGCAAATTTTAAGAAAATAATCTATTAAATTCTATTGAAATGTAAGATGTTCATAACTTTTGACCAGTAAGCTCAATTTTAGCATCAACTCTTAAGAAATGTAAATCCCACTACTATATATATAATATATGCAAGAATATTTATTGCAGCACTATCAAGTGGGAAAGAATTGCAAACAACCTGATGGTCTGTTGCTAGGGAAATGGTTTAATAAAAAATAAATCCATGCCATGGAATATTATGTGGCTATTTAAAAAGCAATTGATAGAGTGATATGATTCCATAAGGGAAAACAAAACTGAAGGTTAAAGAGCTGTTTGTATGCAAGTATGAGTATATTTTTATGAGCATGGAGAAAGCTGTTTGAGGCTACACACACATTTAATATTGGTTACCTTGAAAAGTTGGGGAGAGGAAAATGTAGAAGAATCTTTTCTTTATAAAATTCTATATAGTTTGACTTGTTGAAGCAAGTCTAAATTTTGTAATATAAAAACCAAAAATAAAAAATTAAGAAGTTAAAAAAATAAAGAATGATAATGGAAGGGGAAGTGGCCAAAGAGACAGGAGAAGAGCCAGGAGAGTTTAGTTTCCTAGAAGCAAGAAAAGAGAGTGTTTCCAGAGGTGAGTGATCATCCACATCAAATAATGTCTAAATAATAAGCAAGAAAAGGACAGAGAAGCTTTTGCTGTGTTTAGGGGTGTCTTTGGTGGGAGCAATCCTGATGAACTAGTAGAGTCAGTAGGCTATTGTAGTGGGCAAAGGGTTAAGTGGAAGGAAAGGGAATACAACAGAGTGTGAAGGGGAGGAGGGAGATAAGAGAAAATCCAGGGGACACCATAGAGTACAGCAAGATTCTTTTTTTCCTTTTAAAATGTTTACTTTTTAGGGTGAAAGAGACTTATGTTCCTTGTCCCACACTTGTTCATCTTGAGGCACAATGGAAGTTAGAGCCAGGAGACTGAAGACGTTAGAGCTGAGCAGGATGAGTGTGACGACTAGCTTGATGACTATAGTTTCAGACAGATGAAGGACATCCGTATCTAAGGTTTTCAATGCTCATGGAAGTCTTAAAGTCTAAGTTTGGGACCTTACTCTGGTATGTCTGCTGAGTCCTTTAGATGACATGTGAACTGATCCAGAAATATAGATTGGTTCTTACCAATCCCTATGGGTGAAAGATGTTAAGTGTTCAAAAATTATTGTTTAAAATTTTTATATTTGATTCAGAGCTACAACCAACTAAAAACAAATTGCATTACTAAAATTTGGTAATCACAAATGAAAATCAGCATGCTACTAGATTTATTTTAATTCAGTATTTTATTCAGAAGTCTGGCAGACACTTGGTGCTTGGCAGTAGTCATAAAGCACATGCACGTAGTTGTAAATTCAACAATTTTGATTCAGGACACTTCAGCAGAGTATCGTCAGTGTTGGCTTGAGTTGGTTATGATATTCAATTGTTGCTATTCTTTTAAATTATAAATTACAATAAGTTTAGCTTTATTATAATTGGTTTAGTTTATTACGGACTGTTCGGTTAACCTCACAATGTTTATTGGTACATACTTGGGTCATCAAAGTTTTTGTCTTACAATGTTCTTATAATTAGACTTTTAAGATATGTATGTCTTGTGGGTCACACGTGAAGCATCCATAATAATTTTGCTAAAGTAGTTGTGTACCTAACCCCCCCCTGCTATTTGCTTGTATGGTGACACATTTCATGGTGTGTTTACTGGGAAATTTTGTTATTTACATAAGTTACAGCATACTGTCAAGGTAGGTGTAATAAAATTACTGGGTATGTTAATGTTTTGCCAGTGTTTTAGGATATAAATCATGTTTATAACAATCTGTTTACTGCAATTGGTTGATTATGTTTTTGTCTAATACTTTGTTACCACTAGATTCACAAATATCCTCTCCTGGAACGTGGGAATAATTGAGATAGGTGGGGCCTTTTGCCTCGCCTTGGTGGAGAAAGTTGTGCAGAAAGTTTGTGCAGAAAGTTGTGCAGAAGTTTGAAAGTCATCACTAGAGTAGTGTTAGGTGTGTGGCAAAGGATGCTGAGCTGCTAAGTTGGAATAAGGATAACTCACAGCCATGGCGTCAATGCTAGTGGACTGTGAACTTGTTACTAATAAGGCATTATGAGAGCAGGTGCTGATGACATTATTTTTTTCACTTGTTTAAGGATGTAAATGAAGACCCTGGAGAAGATGTGGCCCTCCTTTCTGTCAGTTTTGAGGACACTGAAGCTACCCAAGTGTATCCCAAGCTGTATTTGTCACCCCGAATTGAGCAGTAAGTGTCAACGTCATTAACGTTATGTAACCTGATGCCTCTTCTTGCTAACCAACTGTCCCTGCTCTTTTTTTTTTTTTTTTTTGCCTCTGTTTAACTCTTAAAATTACTTCTCTTTATTGACTTTCATTTCCTTAAAAAATTTCATTTGGAGTTTAGATTGCAGAGTAAATGAAGTATTTGCCACTGTAATCTTTTGGTGAGTATTAGTTGTGCAATTTGTGATATGAATACTGTATTTTTGTAGAAAGAGAAGAGTAGGCAGACCGAGTCCAAAATTATGACTCCCGCCAGATGTTCCCTGAGGTATGAATGTTTGTAACCTAAAGAGGACTGCTGAACAGCATCTGGCCCAATTTCTTATATATTTGTAACTATTCGAGGTATTGGTAAAAAATGTAAGTAGTCTCCTTAAAATATTAAGCAAAAAACTTAATCAGAAGTTGGTAAAGATAATATTTAAAGTAGATAGCTTAAAAATTTAACATGTTTGAATTATTTTTCTGTGTCTAAATAGCCATATGTAATTGTACACACCATCTAGGCTACATGATAGAAGTAGTTTGATATCACATTTGTGTTCTAACCAAATAACTTTACTCATCGGTAATGAATTTCATAAGGACTGACTTCACAGTGTGCTTATTGTTGGCTAAATGCTTTGGAAGCTTATTCTACTTCAAAGGAAGCTGAGGTTCATTGAAAATGGATTATAAGCAGATTTGGTTGGGAACTTCTGACAAGACAGATTTTTCATCAGCAGAGAGAGTTTTTACAGACTCTGATTGAAATGTATTATTAAAATTCTCTGTGAGTCATTTAGTCAGGGTTGGCTGATTTCTGTCTGTAAGTAGATGTGGTCACCATCCAGCATTCACACACTAAGCTGTGTTAACCCCCTCTGACCTTAGTTGCTCTGATTTATGAATTGTGGACACAACATCTATAAACTTGTATGACATGGCTGTTTATACCTCCAACTATGGGAGATTATGAGCATCAACGATGTATAAGCATTCTTTTGTTTGTTTATATGTCTTTGACAGCACCTAGAAAGAACTTTATAGTATCAGGCACTCAATGAATGTTTTAATTCTCAATTCAAAATACTGATCCTATCAGTAAGAGGTCAAAGGGTGTGAGGGGTAGTACAGGAGTTCTGGAGTCAAGCAGATCTGGTTTTAAGGTGGGCACAGCCACTTACCAGCTGGCAAAAATATTTAACATCTCTGAGCTTGTCTTCTCAGTCATAAAATAGGGATAATAGTACCTATTTCATAGTGTTGTTTTGAGGATTATATTAGATACTGTTCATAAAGCATTAATTGCAGTGCCTAGCACTATAGCACTCAGCAAGTAGTAGCTATTAAAGTTATTAGTATTGATCTAGTTCACAGAAGAATGAATGAGTGGTTAGCAGGGGCAAGTTGGGGCATAAAAGGAGAAAATGGGTAAATAAGTGAGCAAATACCAATTCTAGAGTAGCCACTCAGTGTGTACCTAATGAGTTAAATTACAAATGCATTTTGGTGATGAGGGAACAGTCACAAGATGTAGGTAATATGAATATATTAATTAAGCTGCAAGCAAGCTCAGAAAAGAATTATTTCCAGCAGCCAGGTTATTTTTCTTTGAAATTACTGCACCTACTTTGTAAGTAAACTTGCCAATAAAATATTCTTGTCCTAAAAATCTAAGATATAATGTAAAAAATGATTAGAGAAAGGTATATTTTAAAAGTCATTTTTACTATTTCTAAAACCTACCTTTCTACATGTCTTCCCTTTTTTTTATATTAAGATGGCCACAGTGTATCTTTCCAAATCAGTTTTTTCTTACTTCCTGTCCAATAGCCTGTCCTTCACCTGGACCCAGTCACTTGAAGTTTTCTTAATTCATCTGCTCTCGTGCCTCGATGCCTATGCTAAAGCTGTTCCTGCCCATGTGCAATGCCTTTGTCTAATTCCCTCTCCCTGTTGAAATATTATGTAATACATTCTCTAAGGCCTTATTCAAATGCCATCTTTCCAACCATTTTCTCCAAGTACAATTAGTCTAGCCTTCCCTGGAGCTCTTTGCAATACTGAATTTATAGTAATCTTACAATCTGTATTAATATTATAATCTACCCTTCATAGCTTTAGTTGGTTAAATGCATTTTTTTATCTTTTGCAAAATTGCAAGCTGCTCAAGGGTAAAGAACAAGTCTTTTCATTTCGTGAATGCCTTGCACAAATGCAGTGCATAGTTATCAGTTGCCTAATTGGCAGTCTTCTAAGTTAATAAGTAATTCTCACCAAAAATCTGGAAAATGCTGCTCTGAAAGGTCTTATACTTTTTCTGGTTGATACAAATTCACCTGGTAGCACTTTATTTGAAATACCAAAGTAAACTACCTAAAGTTCTTATGTCCTTAAGTAGAAGTTTTCAAAATGAAGTTTTAGAGAAAGGTTAACACGGAAAGTAGTAAACTTGAGGTATAACTTTGTAATGGCTTACATATTTGCTAAAGTTATTGATACCTTTGGTTAATTCTTGCAAAGGTCACATAGAACAAAAGTAATGCCATTTCCAGAAGGCATGGCTATGGGATAGGTCAGGAATGGGGAACCTGTGGCCTTAAGGCCGCATGTGGCATTCTTGGTCCTTAAGTGCAGCCTTTTGACTAAATCTAAATTTTACAGAACAAATCCTTTTATTTTTATTAATACATTTTTATTTGTCTTTTATATTTTTATTTTATTTTTAAAATGAAAGTATTTAAAATACCAAAGAATAAAATACATTTCAATGAAATAATCCTCCCAGATTGACCAGCACAATTAGAACATTAGTAAGCCCTAAGGGCTAAATTGATGGCTGCTTCACTCATGATTTAGTTCTCATTTCCCCCGACTGGTGCCACTACCACATGAGGCTGGTTAGTGAGAGTTTATGGGGCTCTAATAGGCCAGTCTGTTACCAGCTTTTGACAACAGTGCACTGTTTCTGTCCAAAGTGTAATTTGTAAACAATTACATAGCTCAACAGTATTTTTTAATTCTGTCTGCTTAACATCATGTCAAAGAAGACCAAGAGAATGCTGAAGGAAGAAAATAGATTTTTTTAGTGAGGATGGGAATTGCAGTATTATCTTGTTTCTGCTAAAAATAAGAGGATTTGCTTGTTTTGTGATACTACAGTATCAACATTAAAGAAATTCAATGCTCATCAGTATTATAACACTCATAAGGACCACAAATATTTAAAATTAGAGGGAGAGGCATGAAAGGTTGTATTGTAGAAATTAAAAGGTGAAAAGCAAAAGCAAAGAAAATTATTTCAAGAAGTAATAAGACCTGAAAATAATGCCACTTATAAAGTAGTTGATATACTTGGGAAAAAAGGGAAGCCATTCAGTGATGTAGAAAATTGTGAAATAATTTATTGTTGAAGTTTTAGAATGCTTAGACCCCAATAACATTTCAAAGTACAAACAGCTGCCTCTTTCAAAGGGAACTATAACTGATCAGCAGCATGAATTAGCCTTCAACTTAACAAAAAAACTTCATACAATACTTCAAAAGGAAAATATATTATCCTATTGTTTTGGATGAATCAACTAATACTACTGACTCGGCACAGGGTTTATACTTCATTCAGGTCATAACAGAAGATTTTCTCTGCTGTGAAAAGTTACTTGCTTTGGATATCTTCAACAACTCTCAAGATAAATGTTAGGAAGTTGGACTGAATTTGGTAAATTTAGTGAGTGTATGCACAGATGGTGTACCTTCCATGACAGGAAAACATGAAGGGTTTATTGTACAGATAAAAAAAGTATTAACAGATCCAGATGCTCTCATTTATTTTCATTGTATCCTGCATCAGCAAAATCTCTTTGCTAAAGCTACTATTTTAAGTGACACTTTGCAACAAATTATAAGTATTATTAACTATTAATATATTTTTGCAAATGCAACATGGCATCATCAGATTCATAACATGCTAAAGTTGAATGATGAGGTATTCAGTATGGATTTGCCATATCATTCATTCTAAAGTGCTTTGTCTATCTCAGGGACAGGTGTTGGTCAAAATTTTATCTCTGTGAGAACAGATAGTTAAATTTTATGAAGAACAGAATAAGTAATTTGAATTATTAAAAGACGCATTCTATAGGAATACAGCATTTCTGTGTGATATCTTGTCAAATCAAAATGATTTGAATATTTCTTTGTAAGATAAAACTAAGTCCATATATATATGGCAAAAAATCTAAGCATTTGTAAAAAAGCTATCTTTTTTCAAAATACTTCTTCAAAAGGAAATTTTGTCCTGATCCAAGCTGACCAGATAGAATTAGAAAAAAATAAAATAAATATAAAAAGGAAATTTTGGGTGAACATTTTCCCCAGTTAGCAAAGGTAATTGATGAGCAGGATGATATATGTGAAGCATCTCAAGAATACGCAACTGTTACAGACCTATTGGAGAATACAGTAAAAGGTTCACTGACTTTGAGAATCATGACATCACATTCAAATTAGCATTTTACCCTCACCTAGTTGATATCACCAAGGCACCTAAAGAACTACAGATGGAATTGATTGAGTTCCCAGTAGATGACATTTTAAAGTCATCGTTTAATGCTAAGAAAGATCCAGTTGAAATATAGGAAAATGCCCCAGGCCTTCAGCAACATGCCTGAAAAATGCTATCTTGCTTTTCAACCACTTATTGCTGCAAATCTACACTCTCTTACCTAACCCAAATCAAGATGCCATTAAGGTTCCAAATGACTGATACCCATCTAGAGGATCAACTGGAACTGGGGACCTCCATGTTGAAAACAAATATTCAAATGCTTTCCAACAAAAAGCAGGCACAACAAAGTCATTAAAAGGTGAGTTAACTTTAAAATTAATAAATAGTTTTCATTTTTTTAATTAAGTACATAGTAGTTAGATTTTTACACAATAATGTACATTTTTAAGTATATCTGATTGAAGTTTTTTGAA